AATTGTGATCTCAATAGAAATTTTTCAGTAGGGTAGATACAGATACAGATTTTGAAATAAAAATATAACTAGATACAGATATAGATACACAACAAGTATCTAGATACTGCAAAAGATACATGTATCTAGATACGTTACAACACTACACGCATGATATGGTAGATGAGTTGTAATGGTTTCGTCTGCCATCATATATATTAGATCTTATATATTAAATTTTATACATTAGATTATATATTAGATCAAACTAAACAAAAATGTCCTCTACCGTTTTGTAAATGACTACATAGATTTTTAAATATTAATTAAAGAAGATTTGTGCATTATTGCGCACAATCATGTTACAATTTTCTTTAATTATTATTAATAATTAAAGATCTATGCTATTAATTAATAATCTAGTTATTTACAAAATGAATAAGGTCTTTTTGTTCAATTTCACCTAATATACAAGCGCAGAACAGCACACATCGCCACTATAGCTCATTTACTATATCTCGCATTTATTAATCTTCTTTAATTAATATCTCGATTATTATTGCAAATATTGCAAAACAATATAGGACTTTTATGTTCACCTTAATTCGTTCTACGTTCTAAAATTGCGGAGGAGAATCTAAAACACCCTGTATATATAATCATGTATATATAATCCTGTATATATAACCATAAATATTTAAAAAGGACACGTGAGGAAGAATGAAAAAGAGATAGAGACGAAGAGAGTAATCGCTGATGGATCTACGACAATAATCCGACAATTTGATGATTGATACGATCTAAATTACGGTCTAATTAATCCCGTATCCGACAACAACGATTAATAATACTCGCGCCCACGGACGATTAAGACAACAATTTTCCCAGGATCAACGTCACACAGCCTCCGGATATATTAACCTGGATTTCAACGTCTTCGAGGGGGAAGCGATGAATTTTCGCAAGGCGGCTGAGACAGGAAGACACGCTCGATAATAAAATAGAACGGCTGGCTTTAGTAGCTTCAGCGCGATCGAGCGGTCGTCTTGTCTCTTTATGGAGACTCGTCCGAGTACTCGAGTCTCTTCCGTGTCATCTATCGCGGCGTATATACCGCGCGACGTATCGGCCGCATTAACGGGAAAAGCCGATATGTCGCGATAATGACACCGGAGTAGTCTTTCACCCTTCTTATAGGGGGCGGTAAAACGGTACGGACCCGTTGTTATCGTGTCGGTTGAGCTTACATCTCTCGTCGACCCTCAGACACTATGGGCTATCGACTATATCGCGAAGTAAATTCGATTGAGTACATTCGCTTCGCGAAAGACGTCTTGTCTTTAATCTCTTGCATTGGCATTTGTTTGGCAGGCTTCTAGGATGTATGCATCTATTTAAATCCATATTCAGAAAGAAAATGCTATCTGAAAAAATATAATTTTATCTTTACCTCTTGTGTATGACCTCAAGAGGATTCTGAAACCAAAAGGAAAATATTTTAAACACAATATTTTTTCACTTTATTACAAGAGAAATACTCTTTCGATAAAAATTTTTAGAATATGGAATTTTCAGAATATGGAATTATAGGAAATAGCACCTTACAACAAGAATTATTCTCTTTTAGGTCTCAGGATATTTTTCTTTTAATTTTAAGAAAGAATAATTTTGAAGCTGTAACACTTTTTTTGTAATGATTTCGCTAAGGACAAAATTATATTTTTTTAGATAATACACATTGCTACTTGATCTATATCTACTTTACCTTCCATACACTTTACCTTCCATACACCTACTGAATTTCGTTGAATTCTTTTTAAGAGTTTTATTTTTACGTGACGAAAATAATCGTGCAAGTAGGCGAGAAAGAAACAACAATTAAACGACCGTTCCCTTTAAAGATTTAGAACAGAAGAATATATTGTAGAGAAAGATTTAGGACTTTTTTTTAACTAAATTAAATTTAAAATTAATATGTGTATGCCTTATAAAATTAACATACATACTTATATTAATAAAATTAACTTACTTATTAGTTGACTTAAAAGTTACATGAACGAAATAAACTCAATAAAAAGTTAAATTAAAATTGTTAAAGTTAAATGCTAAAAGTTTATTATGTAAAGCAATATATGTGATTTTTTTGCATAATTATCTTTTTAATCGTAGATTAAATATATACAAAATAATGAAATTGTTGATATATGCAAAGTAATGAAATTGGTGTTTTTTATAAGAAAATAATGAACATATGTGCGTGTGTTTAGAAAGATGAAAAAAGATTCGCTGGCAATATTTTTTATTTTTTGTATCATGTATTGTGTAAGCAGCATCTACCATATCATACGTATAATAATTTTAATGTATATATTATCTTGAAACTTCTGGAAATTTCCAGGAGTTTCCAAATTGAATGATTATAAATCAGTTAAAAACTTCTGCCAACGCGTAAAATATAGATCTAAGTATGAACTTTGAAATTGTATGTGGCAATTACCTAGGGATCTTGATGTTGATAATGGGATTGATAATAGTAATTGTTTCTATTCGTCATGTGAAAACTGCTATCTTAATTTTTGGAAATTCATAACATATCTGACATATCGTGTTACTAAGGTGCCCAAACAGCTTATAGAGTTTAACAGCTTATACATGAGTAATGTTTCTACAATGTTCTCTGATGTAATTTACAAATTTATTTTCAATATGGCTGCTTTTAGCTGATATATTGCATCAGACATTTCGAATTTCGGATTCTGCCACATACAATTTCAAAGTTCATATTTAGATCTATATTTTCTGCCTTGGCAGAAGTTTTTAACTGATTCATAATCATCCATTTCGAAAACTCCTGGAAAGTCAGTTTTATTGAAATCCAAGAAAATACCACATTTTGACCCGCCATATTGGATCCGCTATTTTTAATTTTGAATTATTAACTACAGATTCATAATCTGCGACCCTAAACATCCTTGAAATGTGAGTTTCATTGAGATCTAAAACAATTTTACAATTTAGCCCGTCATATTGGATCTGCTATTTTGAATTTCGGGTTCTTCCACATAGTATCTCAAAGTTAATATTTAGACTTTCATTTTGCACCCTGGCGGAAGTTTTTTCCTCAAAAACTGTTCTGGACATAGCGTAATTGATTTCACGTGAAATGACCCATATATTTTTTTGGAGTAACTAGTTTAAATTACAAGAATAGCTAACTTAAAATTAACTAAGTTCAGTTAAAAGTTATTAACTTTCTAACTCAATTTTTAATTGATCAGCTAGTTGTTATCCAATTCTGGTAGAGAGTATATAGAATACATTGAGTGTATATCTTATTCGTGTCATATACCATGTTCGGAATGTCGCATTTCGTTTCATGTACAGCAATATATCAGGTTGGTATATTTAATTCTTAGAGGGAAATGGTATATGTCACTTTCTTAATACTTCCTCACATTACGAATGCTAAGATTAAGTCAAGTTTGTGGTGAACAACACGTTTGATTTGCGAAAGCATGACACCTCGTAGAATTATTTCAAGGTAAGGGGTGAGGTAAGCAAAAATGCATACTGCACCTGAAATAAATGCATCAAATCGTAATCGAGCGATTTGCAATTCGTATTTGTAGTTTCGTTTTTTAATCATAACTGCACCTTCGTATTACCATTGTAAATACAATCGACCTGTCGTGTCTCGTAAGATTGTTCGGCGAACGCATTTTTATAATCATGTCTTCCGTGAGATGCATCGAGGAACATTTGTCGAGGAACGTTTAACGTTTAACAGTGTCGTTTACTCTCCATCCTACAGCTGGGATAACGAGGTCGGCCTGTTGGAGTATTGCGGCTAATATCCGCATGAAATCATTCACCTCTTCGTCGAGAAGATGCTAAAGTGGCGGTTTATGCTCGTCGTCTTATAGTGCTGCCGGGATGCTCCGGTTATGCAAGGGATGGGTTTCTCTGGTGCGTGTGTGCGTGTGTGTGTGTGTGTGTAGGTATGTATATGTGTGTATATACGGGGGCAACGTCACTCGGTGGTTTATAAGGGATCGGCCGGCGTTGGTGGTGCCGTTGGTGCGGCTTAAGGGTGGCATGAATCAGACGGTGGCGCTTCCACGGCCGCGGAGTGGCGGCTCGATGGTGGCGGCAGCGGGGTTGTTTCTGAACGAGTCTGGTAGACCATTTATCCGTTTCTCGGGCCAACGGCCATGAGAAAATGCTTCCTCCCCCCCTCCCCTTCCCTCCCCCCTCTCTCTCTCTCTTCCTCTCTCTTTCTCTTTCTTTCTCTCTCTTTCTCTCCCTTTCTCCTTCTCTTTCTCTCTCTTTCTCTCTCTTTTTCTCTCTCCCTCTCTGTCATTCATCACCCTTCCTCCCCTGCAGCCGAGACCATAACCAGATTTATATACTCCGCGCAGGAAAGTTCGACTATTCTCGTCGGTGGCATTTCTTCGCACTACCCAGCCGAAATAAAAGACATGGTCTCCTCGGCGATAACCGCTCAGTATTTTTACTCGGAACAAAGAGTAAGATACCGACGCGCGTCTGAATTTGGTAGCTTCCCGAATAGAAATGTAACTAGCCGAGTCCATTCAAGAGCTAGTAGCGTTAAATTGGACTCGATTAAATTTTCTAGCTCGTTATTGACTGATTCTTCACATTAATGTAGAATCAGTCTTCTGATTTAATATTGTGCAATATAATATTCTCCCAACAATTGCTTTCAATTCAAGTTATATCGTCTACGAATGACGATATATTATAATGATAATCCTTTCTTGAGGTATCCTGGAAGTGGTCCATCAACGTCGAAAGAATACCTATCGAGAAAGATTATTTTTATTAGGTCACTTGCATACTCGATAACAATGTTCGTTTTAAAATTCGACCTCTCTGTTCTACATTATACGCATTATATAATTCTATACTGTTGTTTATGACCAGAAAAGCTTGGTAATTTATAAAGTGAATATTCCAATTAGTAATCAAGTGACCTCGTCATGAAAATAAATGAATCAATTAATAATATACGTATTAAACTATATATAGAAGTAAGCGTTACTTTAATGGTTAGCAGCGATGTTAAGTACAACTTGACTATCGTGTGGCTAATCACGAGATTCAATTTTTCCTCGAGCAATAAATCATAGAACAGCGTTAGATCATAATATCGTGCGAGAGAGCGCAACACGCGATAGAAAGGAGGGTATAACTTTTATAAGGGGTTTCGCGACCACCCGGGAATCGTTTTATATTTATATTTTCTTACGTATTTTTTTTGTAGAAACCGAAAATTGTCAGTATAACAACGCCAGACCTAAGGAAAAAAAATATATATATTTTATATATATACATATCTTTATATACATCTTTTATATATATAAGGTGAGTCCATTTTAATTTATCCAGTCGAATATTTCAAAAACTAAGACCGGAAAATGTTTCAGACAAAAGTGATATGAATTGATGGGGGACATAAGAAGGTACCATTGGTTTGACCTTACGTGGCCCCGCCAAGATTAGGTCGAGGTCAACTTTGCTTTTTTAAATAGAAACATACATTTTTTATTACGGAATTTTGTTCTACGTAAAGAAGCAAACAACTTTTGTTTGAAAATATTTTTTATCCGATCTTTATTTTTTAAGATATTTACGGAAATATCTACAAAATTATTGGTTTCAATAATTTTTTACTCAAATTGTATTAACTTTACCGAAAAATAGCAAGAGATAAAAATTGTCTATTTTCTTCTCATAGAGTTCTAAGATTTTTTTCAGAATTTTTGATTAACTTTTTAGTACTTCATGAAAATGCAAGGAAATGCAGTACTAAAAAGTTAATAAAAAATTCTGAAAAAAATCTCAGAGCTCTATGAGAAGAAACTAGATAATTTTTATTTTTCGCTATTTTTCGATAAAGTTAATAGAATTTGAGTAAAAAATTATTGAAACCAATAATTTTGTAGATATTTCCATAAATATCTTAGAAAATAAAGGTCGGATAAAAAATGTTTTCAAACAAAAGTTTGCTTCTTTACATAGAATAAAATTCCGTAATAAAGAATGTATGTTTCTATTTAAAAAAACAAAGTTGACCTCGACCTGATGTTGGCGTTGTTATATTGATAATTTTCAATTTCTACGAAAAAAATACATAAGAAAATATAAATATAAAACAATCCCTGAGCGGTTGCGAAATCCCTTATAAAAGTTATACTCTCCTTTCCACGGCTAACAAGGACAGTCCGTCCCGTAGACGCGAAAGTGTATAAATCGCGCAAGAATGTTGAACCATTGCGTTTAGGGAAATTTATGTGAGCCGAGCATACACCGATTGCGATACGCACGAATCGAAAATACGCTGATGGATGGCGTTTACCGTAACGCGAAAGAATGAGAGGGATAAAGCGGTATACCGGGAAAGCGTCCGCGTTAGACCGGCGGCATTAATTCTATCTCATCTCTTGGAGATTCGCTCTGTTAAATTTCGCCCTCCCTTCGTGAGAAGGACCCTCCGAAATAAATCGTCGGCATTTACTCGAATTGCCGATCGTAAGATGCGTTCGGGTTCGCCGATTCGCCGAAACCGCGTATAACGAATGACTCGTTATCTTATTTTTCCGTTCGACATTAATCTCGTGACTTATCTCTGTCTTTTTCTCCCTCTCACCCCCGCTCTCTTTCCAAAACAGCTCCGTCGATGCGTCGCATCGCGATCGCGTCGCGACACGTACATCGCGATAAAAGTTTCTCCTCTAGTCGACTCCACTACATTCTTTCGTGTTCTTATTCCTTTTCCAGGATGGGCTTCGACGGCAGGACATGCATCCTACGAGCGCTTTGCGAAGCGTCTCAGCGATTAATGCCGAAGGGAAATACTTTGGTGGAGGAGATGATGAGGATATCGTTCTCGTAAGTTTCCGTCTTGTTACTGATTTCTTTTTTCTTCTTTTTTTTCACGAAACGAAAGCTACTCGGCATGAGGATGCCTCGCAGGTCGCGGATTGCTATTTCATCGCTCCAAATCTCTCCGTTTCTTTTTTTTTATTCGGATAATTCACGGACACTTAGCACCGCGCAATTTCACAATTCAAAATGACGCAACTGAAAAGCGTAGCGCGTGAGAGAAAAGAATAAATGCAGTGGAAGATACAGATAACTGAGCTAAAGAGAATACGAGTTAAATAACGGTGAATGAATAACGATAGCTTTCTTCGCGGCTATATCGTTTGCGAGCTCTACAGGGCGTTGCAAAATAAGTGGTTCGTATTTTAATGATAGGTTCTACGAATTATTTAGTATTAAATCTTAAGGCGAACAGGGAGGTCATTCGTGTCTGGACATTTTCAATAACTTTGTACTTCTTCTTATTTCGAAATTTATAAGATTTCGTATATGTACTTCAGAATGAAGTTAGTATAGTAGGAGCACTCAAGAAAAGCTCAATAGAGACAAAATTCGTTAGTTATTGTCTAAATGGCAGCCGGAATAAATCGATCCTAAACATGAGTGATTCCTCCTCTGCTCCTATTCACTTTAAGTACGCCATATAAAGTTGGATGGATTCCAATACATTTTTAAACTTCATTTCAATTTCACTTTAAATAGTAAACTTATTTGAATCTCACTTTGAATAACACTTCAATAAAAAAACTATGTTGTTATTATTTGATTTGCGTATTATTGTATTTTTGTGGCCATATTATTATGCACAAGAGTGATATAATCTATTCCTTTAAATATTGTATGTTTCAATGGTTTTTCAAGTTATTTTAATGTATTTAACTAATATGGTATTTTTGAATTTTAACAAGACTGGATAAACATAAGTAAAATTAATGAATTTACTCAAATATATGCTTCTTTTCTAATTTCTTGTAGTTTTTGTGTTTCTTACTTCTTTTCTTATTTTTATATTTTATAATGCGCAAAAATGTTTCTTCATGTTATTTAGCCTTATTTTCTTATTCAAATATACATCATTTTTGCATGCCGAAATAATTCGACTTTTTTCAAGATACTATAATAAACTATTATTCTTTTATTAATTACTATTTTAAATATAAAACTTTAAATTTATTTTTTAACAAATATAACAAAAATTATGATTTTTTATTGGGAGTACAAATTAGTTCAGTCCGTTTTTTTGTGGTCAAAAATGCATTTACTTCAGAACAAAATGAATGAACAAATTAATCAAAGTATTGTCCATCGCTGGCTACTATTTTTTCCCACCTCTCAGGCAACTTTTGAATTCCATCTCGAAAAAATGTCTCGTTTTTTGAGGCGATCCAAGTTAGGAGCCAATTTTCGATTTCTGCGAAAAAAGTGAACCGGTGACCTGCCAAATCGTGCTGCATCCGTCGAAACAACCAGTAATCAGAAGGAGCAATGTCCGGCGAATACGGCGGGTGCGGTAAAATATCCCACTTGAGCGTTTCCAAATAATTTTTTACGACTTTTGCGACATGAGGCCAAGCGTTATCATGCAGAAGAATAACTTTGTCATGTCTTTGCTCGTATTCCGGCTGTTTTTCTCGTAATGCACGGCTCAAACGAATCAATTGTTGCGTAACTCCCAATGATTCTGCAAGCTCCTCTTGCGTTTGACTCGGATCTTCATCGAGTAATGCCTCCAATTCTTTGTCTTCGAATTTTTTTGGCTGTCCAGAGCGAGGCTTGTCTTCAACGCTGAAATCACAATTCTTGAAACGTCGAAACCATTCCCTATATGATTTATCAGTTGGAGCATTGTTACTATAAACTTCTACAAGCATTCGATACGCTTCAACTGCACTTTTCTTCCAACTAAAGCAAAAAACTAAAACCTCCCGCAAATGCTGCTTAGTTAACACAAAATTTGACATATTCAACACAATAAAAAACAGGGGTTTTGTATGAAACTCAAAGCGATATAAACTGAATATTATTGACAGATGTCTAACCTCTCTGAAACCACCGAAATCAGCTGTCACTATGAAACATTCATAACAGCCAGAGCCATTTTTTGAAAACGGACCGAACTAATTTGTACTCCCAATAAAATAAAGTAGCTTTTTCGTGAATTCTTGTTAAAAAATAATTGAAAATAATATAGAACTTTGTTTTTTTAATGACCTTATAATTTATTATGAGGTTGGAAAATTGAAGCTTGAAGGAAATTGCATGAATTTTTTCAGAATTTTTCAAGAATTTTAAGTTGACGAAAAAATGCGTCGGACATGACCTCTTTATTCTCTATAAAAGTACCGAAAATACCTATTCACCGTAAAAGTTAGAATCTGTCTGTCCTCGGTAAAAATGTTAAACGTGAGTGTCATTTACCGCGGGGATCTTTTAGATTTCAACGATGTACACCTGTATATCGCCGTTATACGGCTTCAAATTAAAATTCTATCCAAGTCCACTCGAGATTAATTAAAAAATTCGATTTTGTTAGTTGTTCTCTCTCCCTCCCGTCGAAACGCGACAAGCTCTTCAATTTCAATAGTTTGCATAAAAACTATCTGACTCGATGGTTTTGTAAATAAAAGCGACTGCAAATTGATCAAAGAGGATTTGTTACCGCCACTTGACCCATTTATTGATAAAAAAACCCACATAGAATATATCGCCTACGTGTGCAAATAAAAAGGAATTTTTTCATGAAATTAGTTCATGATGAAACAAACACTTTTTGAGAACACCTTAACTTTATTCATAAGAATGCGTTAGCGTGATAAGATGATTTAACTGGCGCGCGACAAATGTTGTTTTGATTAAGTTTCTCTCATCTCTCACCCGATCTCACTTAACGCAAAATACACTCGGAATATTAGCCTCAGAAAATATTACGCATTAATTTATATTCTTTAACGTCACTTTCAAATTGAAACGCGGATGATAAACGCGTCCTTCTTGCGAAGGGAAAGAAAAAAAGTGGGCAAAAATAAATAAAACGTCAGGCGATTCTCCAGCTAACGCACACGTCGACGAATTAAAAACGTGACCAGACTCACGCACAGTCTAAAATAGCCTCGTTTCGTCTGACGATTTTGAGAGGGAACCCCTGCCGATTATCCCCCCGTAAACGAGCGTTACGGGCGGCCTACTGATCATCTCGAGCAAGAATGCGCAATTTGCAAAACGTTAGAGGGATCTTCTGCGAAGGGTCGCCTACTCGAGAACAGCTGACCCTCTGCTTTCACATGCGGATATTTCGGATATAATACCTCAGCGAACAGTGGAAAAGGTGTGCGTGTGCGTGTTTATATGTAAGTGAAAGAGAAAGAGAGAGAGAGAGAGGGGGAAGAGGGAGAGAGAGATAGAAAGAGAGAGGTATTCGATGGCAGATTCCCGATCGTCGTCCAGGGGCTGTCCAACTGGCCCCGATTCAGCCGTCGTCCACGTAGGCAGATCGACGTTCCCTCGTGTAGTCGGCCCTGAAAGCGGCTCATTCAGCGTCTCTCGTTACAGGCTGCCCCTGAAGAGAGTCTTCTCGTTCGAGCCGGAGGAGCATCACACGTACACCCAGGCCCATAAAGCCGGCCATGAGGGCAAGAACTGCGCCGTCCTGTTTCCCGGGTGCAGCTTCTCCCTCATCGACATGGCCCTCGGGAAATATAACGCGCCCCTGCGCCCCGACCAGTCCGCAGATCCTTCGGACTATTCCGGAACTTTCGACACGGGGGATGAGCCCGCCGCGGATTGGCCGAGGTACAACATGAAGTAGCGCGTTGCATGTAAACGACAACCTGATTTCCGTGGGCGCGAACGTGCCCCTTGACCTCACGATGATCCGCCTGCGTGCCGTTTCGTGGTCGCTCTCAACATCGTCTTCGTCGTCGAAATATTGCTTTCACGGTTATTTTGCAAAACCTATCGGACCGAAAGAATCAATGAAGAGTCTAGATATACAATATGCTATGCGGGTTGGTGTTATTCTAGTGTTTTAGAACTATTTAATATTCAATTAAATTGAATATTTTTCAATATTTGGAATATTTGTTATATTTGTATTTTATTTATTCCTATTATTAGGAAGTTATTGTTAACATTATTTAATTTGTTTCAGTTTTAGTAAGCAACGTATTAATTATTACTTATTTGATTACTAAGAGAGTAAGTGCGACAAACAAATATTAAATAATTAGGACAGATAAATAGTGGGATTAATAGACAATAAAATAATAAATCTTCCTTCTTTATGATTCGTTTATTGTCACTTCTTCAATGATGTTGGAAGTTTAATTGGGATTTGGAGATTCAAAAGAATCGAGAGAGAATATGTTACAAAGTTCAGGAGACAGCTGTTGTGTATGCGCAATAACAAAAATCTAGATTTGAATACAGTATAATAACGATAATCTTTCAAGCAGAATAGACAACGTTGATAATTTAAAAAAATAAGACTTGCGGAATATATATATATATATATTTTTTTTTATGTTAATTCTTATGACTTAATAGTATTGTTTTAATATTTTTATATGTGATATTTGTCTTTGTCAAAAAAATCATTACGTTTCTAAATCTACGTACGACGCATATATTGCGATGTTATAATTATAATTAGTTATAATTAGTGTTATTAATGTTATAATTATAATTAGTTAATTAGAAAACACTAATATATTATCGCTAGCGACTATTCGCAAATCTTCTTTAATTAATAATTAAAAATCTACAAAGTTATTAGAAAAATGATAAAGAATCTTTTTGTTCAGTTTAATTTAATATACGAGCACACAATAGCAAACGTCGCCATTACAACTCATCTACCACATCTCGCATAATTATTCACAAATCTTTTTTAATTAATATCTTGATAATTATTGGAAAGATCACAAAACGGTATAGGACTTTTATGTTTACTTCAATCCGTTCAGACCTCCACAAGAGCTTCGCAAGTTGTTCTACACCCTGTATATCGAGGTGGAGTGCAAGATTCTAGAAGGTTCCGATCGCTTTCTAGAGCTACCAAGGTCGCTACATATACAAGCGTCGCCTTGGTAACAGCTCACTGTTAGACGCGAAAAGGAACAACGCAGTTGTCGATCGATTTTCAGTGAACACGGACGTCACTACCTCTCTAAGAACTTTTTTCTTTCGTGCGGAACTCCACTATTCATCTGTAACTCGTTTTCTTTCTCTCTCTTTCCCTCTCCAATTCTCAATCTAATCGAGAACTCTTTACCTATGAACTTTTTGAAGTAAAGTGGCTGGTTCGCGCTGCTTGAGCCGAACACTCTTGCCTATGAACCCTTCAGAGCGAGGTAACTAGTCGGTAACTTTCTCGGAATCATTCGCTCTTTGCCTGTGAACCTTTCGGAGCAAGGTGGTTAGTTCACGCTCTTTAAGCCAGATACTCTCGCCTATAAATCATGACTAATCGGCATTCTTCGGAACCGACTACTCTTTGCTTATGAGTCCTTCAGGGCGAGGTAGTTTTGGACGCTCTTTGCAGCCATCCTGACATTATTTGTTCAAGAATTTGTCGTGCGGTTCCTACTGCTTCCTACGCCAGCGCCTTACCTGCTTCTGCTGCAGCTATCCGCCGCCTCCTACGTCGACGCCTTCCTTCTCCTGCTGCGGGTATCCGCCGTCTCCTACGTCAGCGCCTTCCTGCTCCTGCTGCGGCTATCCGCCGCCTCCTACGTCGGCGCCTTCCTGTTCTTGCTACGGCTATTCGTCGCCGTCTTCCTACGATATTCTCCATCGACCAAGTTCCTGCGCTTCCCATCGGCTGATTTCTTACGCTCCCCCGTCGGCCCAGTTTCCTGCGTCTCTCTCTCTCTCTCTCTCTCTCTCTCTCTCTCTCTCTCTCTCTCTCTCTTTCGTCGATCGAGTTCCTGAAATCATATGTCGTGCGCCTGCGATCCTCTCCGTCAGCTGCGCTTCCTCGTCGGCTGAATTTCCTACGCTGCCTATCTTCTGTACCTCTGAAAGCACTAACTACTAGCATTCTCTACTAATGTTTCGTTCGTTAGAAAGTGTCAGCGCTTAGGATTTGGTAGGCAATAAAATGTGTTCATCAAGTTAATAATACTCGATTCAGTACCTATGCGAACACCAGAACTAGAATCTCGTCCAGTGCGTGTGATCGTAACAGACAGACACAAAAATATTTAAGGAAAATTTTTGTGTATTTAAATGAAATAAATTATGTCTCTTAGATGCAGTTATGATGCAATATTATTCCCAAAACATTATTTTGAAAACATTTTTCCAATAATTTTTGTCATCTAATGGCAAGAATCAGAATTACTGAGGCATCAACGGACTGAACAAGTAATTAGATGTTGCTGCAGAGTAACAGTGTTAATAGATACATCCTGCATCTATCGTTTTTGCACATAACTTATGAGAAATTGATGTTACTGAAAGCAATATTGCCAAATAAATAATTAACTAATGTTTGTGACTAAGAATAAAATCATTCTTAATCGGAATTTAGACCAATATTCATAATTCGTCATCATTTGACAATTTAATTATATGTAATTATATATAATATAATTATAACTTCATAAATCCCCGATTATTCGTCAATCTCTCTGTATACCTGTACTTGTTATCATTTATTATTTCATACAATAAACATTAATCTATATAAAGCTTGGCCAACAATAGCAAGGCCAAATAAGCGGTTCTAGCGAATTAACAACTCAATTTGTGCATACACAAACTATTTCATAAAAATCATAATAATAATAATATAATTTGGATCTTACAGTTTAAAGGCTTTAAGTTTTGATAATTTTGAAATTATAACTTCTCTGTAGTTTTTTATGAAGATATATGATGGCTTTAAACGCGGTAAGTATAGGAAACGTTTCTCATAAATTTTTCCTTGTCGCTGGGTCGGCGATGCAAACTTTGCGGCAAGTTGTGACCAGAGGATTCGATGATCGTGTTCGAGCAGAGGTAATGAATAAAGTTTTGATAAAATTTTCCTGAAGAGTCTAGTATCATGAAGTATTGTGTGATTCACATTCATGGATTCTGCCTTGTCAGCGATCTTCAGCTATTGGGATAAGATTTAGCTTCAGGCATTCAATCTTTGCCTGGCTCGGCTTCTATTGGAGGTAACTAAGTTAAGATAGCACTGTGAACAGCGGATGAAGAATGTAGCTATTCTCCAATCTTTTCTTCAAATCTCTCATTAAATGGTGCAGTTTATATACAGACGCCGTTCGACGCTTATGTAGTAGTGAGTGGCCAGAGGGAGAAGGCGGGCAATAAGGGACGATCTCAGCGCGATCCAGACACTGTTTCTACCGTACTCTTCTTACTGTATTATATTCGCATATTACATACGATTATTCTCCTAACTTCTTTAATTAATAACCCAAAATTTGACGTGGTTGTTCACGAAATAATAGAGGAATTTTTTTTTATCAGTTGGATCTTATTTATTGATGAGAGTTTTATATGTATATACGTCAGAACATTCTCTATATAAATCTATATTTCTATATGGCAAGCGCGCTTAATGTATTGGTCGTACTTTGATGTGTTATTATTATTAGAGTATGATAGTAATTGGCTATGATTAATCACAATTGACCACGACTATCCTTGGCAAACTGTCATTAGCTTTCAAGAACTTTTCAACAGAGCATTGCTAGAAGTCATTCTCACAAGTTGTAGACGGCTTTTATGTGGTGTCTGAAGATAGGTTTGTACTTCAGTACTTCAGTACAATGCTTCTATTGCCAGTTATCTTGATATGCACAATGAATCAACTCCCAAGATACTAGAGGAATAGGGGGAGAATACTAATGGAAAATTAATTTAGTTACCTTGTTCGTCATAGCATCTTATCACACATACATATACATAGATTGAACGTTCCACAAGAGACTGCGAAGACTCTTGACTTGAAGAGGATGTTAGTGCATTCATCTTTGTCTAACATGACTTCTCTTGGACATTTCGTTTAGCTTTCTGCAATAGGAGTCAAGCTAGACAAAGATCAAATACCTGTAAATAATGGAAGAGAAATATACGTAGCTGTGCTTAAAATTTTATCTTTAAACCTCTCATAAGAAGATGCAGTCTACATATACAAGTCTATATATCTTATCAATATCGCAAGATAACAACTCGATGATTCGCAATTTGGAAGTCTTGCATTAAGGAATTGCTTCCACTAGATGAATATTTTAAATTGAAATTTAACGGCGAAAACGATGTAAGTATCCTGATATTTTATTTTGTACAGCCAAATGTATGGAAATGAGGTTGGAAAATCTAACGAAGGTGGAATATTCTTGAAGGCTCTAGTATTATAAAAGTTGATTTCAAGTTCATGTATATCACGTTATCAGCAATAATTAGCTTTTGGACAACTGAGACAGTGTTGAATTAATACAGCATTGCCATCAGTCGCGGTCGTAAAACAAAATGACATCTAGGGAGCTAGAACATTTAATATGTTAGACGTGCTTTAATGCGCGATTATTATTAGCATATGATAGCAATATTAGTTACGATTAATTGTAAATAGTTATGATTGGCTATAATTAGCTATGATAAGTTGTTATTAGCTAAAACAACCCCTAAATAATTAATAATATTATACTATTATATGTTACAATATTATGGGCGCTCTGTCTATAAAATTCAATATAACTTTCAATTAAATTGAAAAATAAATTAATTTAAATATAAATTAGTTGATATTCTAAAATGTTGGATAACACAGCGGCTTGTGTGTGTGGCTATTTTTTTAGTTTTCTATATAAAAAGGAAGAGGAAAAAAGGAATGAAGAAATAGTAGATGGAAAGACGAAAATATACTCATGAAAACTTGCTGAACGAATTAGAAATGAACGAGTTAAACGATTATCAAAACTTTGTATATTTAGATAGTTTAACATTTGATAAATTGTTGACTTTGATTGAACATGAAATTGAAAAAATTGATACTTGCATGCGAGACGCCATTCCATCAGTCCATTTATTACACTGAAGTACCTTGTTTTATTGGGAATTCTTTCGAAAATCTAAAGTTCATAAATGCTATAGCCTCAAAATATTGTAATAGAAACTAGCAAGGCGATAATATATACATTGAAAGATAACATATGCATTTTTATATAACATGTTCCCACTTTTGAATTTTGCACTAAAAAAAGTTTTGAAGTACTATTACATAATAATACTCACAAACGTATCAATATTTAATATAACTTGCGCAATATATTTAAAAAGACTTTTGATTGATACAATATATTACACAAACTTTCAATATAGTTTCCAAACGATTAACAATATTTCGAAACATCAAATATTGTGTAATAATATTAATTGTCTAGGGGCCTCTTAATGAGAGATTTTTAGTCTTTTCAACATAACATTGCTATGAGTTGCTGTTGCAAGACATAAATAGTTACAAGAAATAAAATAATTTTCATGTAACGTTCGGAAATAGGTCGGTGAAATTGTTTTTCAATATAATGCTCTTGTTAGCGATTGTTTTGGGGTATGCACAAAGAATCAATTTCCTAGATACTAAAGACAGAATATTACTTTGTCCCCTGATTACCTTCTTCTAGCAATTTACACATATTACAATTTTTACAAATATTTACAAATATTACAAATTTACAAATTTTTACAAATCAAGCTGTGCATAACAGCTTGATGGCAAAGCGCCGCGTGTCATTAAAGCTACTCCAATATTGGGAGTATTAATCGAATAAATATTTAATCGATTAGATAATCGGCAAATCAATAATCAAAATTAATCAATTACATATGTCGCGCAAATAATTTAATTGATTGATGAAATTAATTATTGATCAATGTATCAGCATATCAATAATCAAAATTTGGTAAATAATATATTTCATTAATTTTGATAATTAATTCACCAGTTATTTAGATCAACTAAAATTTTAATCGATTAATATCCAAAATTAAGTTGCGTACGTTAAATCGATAGTGCAAGATTTGACGATGAGATATAAATATTCGGTTCGAATTTTGTGTTAAAGTACAATTAACTAGTACGAAAAATAAAATTGAGGACATGAAAAATTATCGCGCAAACGGCCTTCATACGTGCTTTTATTTACACCATAGTATTGAAACCATATCTTTGAGCCACGTAACTTTTTCCTCAGCCATTTTTTCACAGCTATAAAAATGGTAGAATTATTCAACGTGCAACAAAGTAAAATGGAACACCCTGTGTATCGTGCGCGAAACGGAAGGACGCGTGACTCGCGAATAACGGAGTTGAAAGCGGAAACTGGAACGCTGTGGAAGCCGGAGGAATATTTCACATGACATTGCTGAAGTGGATACGGCTAATGTTTTCCATGACAGGCTATAACAATTCCTCGTTACATTGTTGCCGCGTGCATAGCGGCGCCGATTTAACTAATTGGATAAAGTTGTAGCGGATCAAACGACATGGCACGCGAAATGCCAGGTATGCGTTGGAAACCAATGAAAAGTGATTGACAAAGAAGCGGGTCCGACGAGGAGCATCGAAATTCGCATGTAATCGAGTCTCGAGGTCATTTTGAGAATCTTCCCGCCTTGTTTACTCCGATTTTTCTCTTCCTCTTTTCCAAGAGAACATTTCGCGCTTCGACTTCACAACCGTATACCACATTGTCGCGCAACTTGCGACAATTAATAATACTATATGTATAAAATATATTCCCAAAGTTTGGTTTTGAAATTCAAAATCTAAATGGTTGTATAGGACCATTTCTCGCACGTAAATACAAACGCATGAGGCGAGATTTGAGCGCACAGTAACTCGTAACGGCTTGTTTCGAAAAACCCGTTTGAAAAAATGGAAAAAAACCATTATAAGAAAGATCTATTAGAAAGGTGTTTAATTGGACATACAAAAAATGCGAATAAAAGTTTTAATATTGAAGACAAGCCTCGCTCTAGACAGCCAAAAAAATTCGAAGACAAAGAATTGGAGACATTACTCGATGAAGATCCGAGTCAAACGCAAGAGGAGCTGGCAGAATCATTGGGAGTTACGCAACAATTGATTCGTTTGAGCCGTGCATCACGAGAAAAACGGCCGGAATACGAGCAAAGACATGACAAAGTTATTCTTCTGCATGATAACGCTCGGCCTCATGTCGCAAAAGTCGTAAAAAATTATTTGGAAACGCTCAAGTGGGATATATTACGGCACCCGCCGTATTCGCCGGACATTGCTCCTTCTGATTACTGGTTGTTTCGACGGATGCAGCACGATTTGGCAGGTCACCGGTTCACTTTTTTCGCAGAAATCGAAAATTGGCTCCTAACTTGGATCGCCTCAAAAGACGAGACATTTTTTCGAGATGGAATTCAAAAGTTGCCTGAGAGGTGGGAAAAAGTAGTAGCCAGCGATGGACAATACTTTGATTAATCTGTTCATTCATTTTGTTCTGAAATAAATGCATTTTTGACCACAAAAAACAGACC